TTATTGCATCGTTCATCCGCCCAGCTGTTAAGATTTTTGTCTTGTGGCGAGTGCAGTCACGGCTTTCTATTATGATAGTGGTACGAGGCGCCTCTACGGAGAAAGTTCAAAGAACATAGTCTTTGTGTTATGATCATCTTTTACCCATATTTTTTGTTGTATTCCAGCCTAAAACCCTGGGGGGCCAAGCCAACATTGGGGGAACTCAACATTTGGGGGCCAGGCCCTCGCAGAAGAATACAAATCGACACCCTTCATATATATGTATATATATATATATATATATATATATATATATATATATATATATATATATACATATACATACGTTGCCTTTTCGCCACGCTTTCGACACACTGGAAGGCAGGTAACAACGGTGGTGAGACCGTTCACCCCGCTTTCTTGACTCAGGCGCCTAAAGTTTGTTTTGTGAATCAAATACAACCTCGAGAGGGTGCCCAGGGGCCTATCATGTTTTTTTCTGTAGTCTTAGGTGTGGTACCCCAAAAGCCTCCTCTCCCGTCTAAATATTTAGCCGCCTTGTTAGGAGAGAACCGCCGATGTATCGAAGGCCAGAGCCTTGCCCTAGTCAGTGCTATAGGCACGCGGCCCTCATCCTGCTTGTTCAACACCACACTTGAGCTTTGATTCCAGTTAAGCGATTCAGACCCCACTTCAAACCAGTGATGCCGATTCGGGCTTACTCTGACCAGCAGAACAGAATTTGACTAGATTTCGACTCATGGTAAAGGACTCAATCCGGGAACGGCTTTCGGTGGAGTCTTTTCCGGCGATAGTGGCTTGAAAAATAATTCGCTTTTCAGGTTTACAAAAAACCTATATATTACATCACTTCGATGGTAAGTCGCTGATATATGATCAACGCATCCAGCGCTCATACTTGAAACACCAGTCCCTGAATGTATACCGCTTCTTGAGCTCTTGTCTGTGTCGACGCGTCGATGGTCTGGCCAAATAAAATGCCATCTCACGACAAAAGCGCAAGGAAATTGTCCCCTTCCGAGCTCAGCGCATCTCCGGCTAATTTGACGTGATTCCAGTCTCAACCAGCAGTCCAGCACAACTTTGTTCGGCACACGTGCATCCAGCCTGGCAATGGCTTATTGACACGATAACCAGGCATGTACGTTGGAATACGACGCCTGTACTTACGCAATGAGCACACATCTCATAGTACAGCTCAGTACACCAACCCAGGGAGCATCTAAACAAACTCGAGTTCTAGACCGAGCGCACTCACTTTGTTTTATATCGTAAGGACTGCCATTGGACTGACAGCCCGCGGTCTGGAGAGCTGTGTGCCGTTACCTCTGGTAGTTGGTAGAGCTCCGTGCACTAATTTGGTTGTCCGCGCATCGCTGCATGACGGCATAGAACAGAGCGAGGCGCGAGTGACGTCACTCCACTGGTCGTCCGTGCGGCCGGGACCGCCGCCAGCCGACCCAGCGTCCTCACAGCCACCTCGTCTGTTCGCAGTTCTTCGTCCGGCTTGATCACATTCGCAAGTGCTTCACTCAGAAGGGAGGCATCTTTGTGCTGGAGGAATACAGTGAGTGGGCCGGGTGATGGAGAGCCGGCAGCGTCTCCGCGGTCCCGGCCCTGTGTCCGTCGAGGCTGGCACGCGCAACGATACAGACTACGGATCTGTGTTTTGCCACCGGGACGGGTTTTGTGTTGCTAGCCGTAGAGCATGCGTATCCCATGTATGGTTTTGGGTCTGTCAAGTACATGCAGACGGAAGTATGACAAATACGCGTCACACGTTGTGCTCATTGCATCATTACGTTGTGATACTTTAGCTAACTTGGTTCAGTATGATCTCTTTTGCAGCATTCCTATCGTACTTGGGGTTTGCTATCAATTGGAAAACCGTGTTTGGGTTAAAAGAGGGTAGTGTTATTCTTAATCGCAATGCTGTCGTTTTTGCAGATCCCAAAACAAGGCAGATGCTGCAGCGGAAATACAAGTCAGCCATGGTAAGTTCTTCTTATTGTGAAGGCTTATCGGTATTGCAGGCTCCATCTCAGTTATACATATTTTCAGCATTCGTTGCAAAGCGATCGTATGACGTTCTGTCTGCAATGCGTCTGCCTGCCGATCACACATTCGCACACTCCAGTAGCTATTCGTGCTCATGGGACATCCCTTTTGTTTCGGTACTGTTCGAGCTGTCACGTGACGACCAAGCAATGCAGCCTGAGCCGCTGGCACTTGGTGCCTGTTTGTCCGCTCCGCCTGAACTCATCTCGGATTATCGCTGACGCAGTGCCAGACGGCCGCAGGCAGTCCTGGCAGCGAACTCTCCAAACCTCGAACACGAGGTCCTTAACCCGCCGTGGGGACGAGTATGATTCTCGCTACCACCGCCTCGCTCTCAATGGCCTTCCGCGTGTCCAAGGCGAACCCCATGGCCTTTGAGCTGCACCGCGTGATCACGGCTCAGACGAAGGTGGCGCGCGCTCGTGCGAACGGCGCGGCCTCTTCCGGGCAGACGTCTCTCCGCCTGACCTGAGCCTGCCAGCGCCACCGGCGCCAAGTACGGTCCAGCCCGGAAGCAACCGCGGCGCGTGGGCGCTTGGGTCTGCGGGCGGCAGCGACGCCGGCTGGGCGGGCTGTGTGGGAGCGGCGGCATGATGGATGTGACAGCGTGGGGGCTCCGCGGCTGCAGCTGCTGTCAGCGGCGGCGATGGGCGACGCATTTGGCAGAATGAGAAGTGCGGTGTGCTGTTGGCAGGTGCTTGGGAGGACGAATGCTACACTGCGCATACTGTGCTCGTCCGCTGAGTGGGTCGAGGGGCTTTGAAAGGTGCCTAGGGTGCAGCATTTTGCATGCAATGCCAGATAAATGTCCCTGCTAGTGACACTCTGGTGGTGAGCCTAGACCAGGCAGTACTACTTTCGACCCAGGACAGGAGGAGCGACCTGAGTTTGGTGGGACATAAATGGAAGAGTCTCTTGTTCGCCGACGGTGGTCCTCACCGGGATAAGCGTCTCGAATGCTCCGTTTTGGGTCCACACCAACTCAAGTGTGCTCAAGTGCAGCGCTCAATTCCATGATGTGCTGCCTAACCCTTCGCCAGGGGATGTGATGGTGGTTTGGTGGTGTGCTGGCTTTGGTGTCGGTTATTTCTGCTTGGTCCATATATTGTGTTGGTTGGTGGTTGACGCCCACCGGCATTCCCTCGCGTCGTCAATGACCGTGATGGCGACGGCAGTTGGGTTGCACCGAGTTCTAGTGTTTGGTTGTGTGTATATGTGCGTCACAAGCCACGTCACGTCACTATGTATGTATGTATGTATGTATGTATGTATTATGTATGTATGTATGTATGTATGTATGTATGTATGTATGTATGCGCGTGCATGGGTGTGCGTGCGTGCGTGCGCGCGTGTGTGTCTTGAAATATCACATTCATCACTGTTTGAAAAAAATGGCTGTGGACAAGCGCATCAGTAAGTTTGCTTTCCGTATTGCCCGTAGCTTATCGATTTGCACACCTGCTCTCGGCTTCTCTCCAGGTCCACCACGGTTGCAATACGCTGTTTTTTTCCTTTATACCGAGCACTCAGTACTTCTTTATAACGTGTATCAGTGGCTGATACAGGTGCTGTAATGATGTAGATATCCTTCGCAGGTTCGTTGCGGTTAATTCAGCCGACAGCGTATGGCGGTTCGTTCCACATGTATGTGAAACCACCCGCGAAGTCACACATGGGTAAAAGCACTTACCACCACAAGTACCCACGCCATATGCTGTGCACATGTGGCGTCATTCTGTCCCACAGCAGCAGTCTTGACTCCACCCAGATATCCATACCGCTCCACTGGCTCCCACCGGTGTACACTTCTCTGGTATTACGCCTTCTGCCTGTCACCGGTTCTCCAGGCAGACTTAATCTGTTACTCGGGACTAGGTGTCTTGTCTCCCCCTCTCTCCATCTGACCCGCCCCGGTTCTCCAGGCGGACCAGATCTGCTACTCGGTGCTGTGCGTGTTCTCCTATATCGCGGCGGGATCAGAGCACAAGAAGCAACCGCCGCGCCACCAGCAGCGGCTGACGTCCACCTCGTAGGCGGCCCTCTCCTCCGCCTGCCATCGACGCGCGCCACAGTGACCGGATCGCCCAGCGCGCTGGCGTCCGGCCGCGGGGCCGGGCGGCGACCGCTGGGACCGTCCGGCTGGACAGGCGTCGGCGCTGCCGTTCCGCCCGCGGCGGCGCTCCGACGCGGGCCGGGCGGCGACCGCTGGGACCGTCCGGCTGGACCGGCGTCGGCACTGCCGTTCCGCCCACGGCGGCGCTCCGACGCGGGCCGGGCGCGGGACGAGAGGCGGCGACGGTGACCTTAGGCAGGTGATGCGCGCGAGTGAGGCGGCGCCCGCCAGAGGTGCCGACGGCCGGTCGGCCAGTGGCGCCCGGCAACGGTGCCTTCGCCGCAGTACGTCAGCGGGCGTCGGCTGGGCGAGCGCCGTAGGGCTGGTCTGTGATGCTCGCCACATTATGTCAGCGGGCATCCCAGGTGGGCGAGCACCGTAGGGCTGGTCTGTGATGCTCGCCACGTTATGTCAGCGGGCATCCCAGGTGGGCGAGCACCGTAGGGTTAGTCTGCGATGCTCGCCGCAGTATGTCAGCGGGCATCCCAGGTGGGCGAGCACCGTAGGGCTAGTCTGTGATCCTGTTTCATAGGGCTAGCCCGTGCTGCTGTTGTTGCTGTTGATACTTAAGGCGGGTGTAAGGCGAGTGCCGCCAATAAAGTGCTAGCGCAAGGCGCGGATGGCTCTGTCTCACACAGCGAGAACAGCGCCAGGAGTCCGTATCGGTCTGGGCCTGGAGGACGCGGACAGTCTTCTTCCACAGAAAGCTCGGCACAAAGCGCGAAGTTGAATCTACTACATGCGCTGGGATACAAACGCGCACGCACGGGCATCCCAGACGAATGAATCTCAGCGGAGAACTGCGAATCGAATCCCACACAACGCGCAGCAAAATAGAGGTGTATTTCTGGCGCAGCATGTACAATAACTTAGAAGGCATGCCTCCCGCATCGTTCATTTAGAGAGCAGACAGACACGAGATGCATTAAAGCTGCTGTCAGGCGGACGCCACGGAAGTCACTGAGGCGGCCGGAGAATCCGTCCGAGAACTGGGTCGAGCACAGATATGGCCAGAATGTCATACCATACACAAATACTGACGCATATGTTACCGACCACACGTTTGTTCCAGTGTCCACCCATGCGCTGAACTTTACACATATTTTCTTCCGTACATCCTGTCAATAAGCAAGCGTGAGCACATCCTGTGTGGTGGCGCACCACACCGCGTAGAACGGACATAGACAGGTCCGATTTTCTCCACTATGCACATCGTCCACTCTAATGTCAAACTTAGTCTACCACTAGAGTGTTACACAAATAAGTTCTAGCATTCCATTGCATCGGCAGCAACGCGCAGCATTCACTAATCACCATTACACACCAAAGTGACATCGCTTTCCGCCAGACCCCTCGCCAACCATCGTCACTATACACTCGAACAGTCAAAAGCTCACGTAATTCGTCGCTCTCTGCCGGCACGGTCCGTGTCTGCGGCCCTGCAGAGCGGAGGTTCTTGATCTGACAATGAGGGAGCCGCAGGACCCTCAGAAAGCGCGCCGCCACCGACCAGTCGGGGATACTTTCCTTTGCCGGCCGAACTTGCCGGCTTCACGTGCCCTTCCTGGTCTGGCCGTCGACACAGGTCACCTCGCGCAGAGACTCTGTCGAGCTGCGGTTGGAGCGGCTCTTGAGCAGCAGCGGCGACTTGACCGGATCCCAGCGGTCTGCGAGACACGGGGCCGTCAGCGGCGGTCTGCGAGACACGGGGCGGTCATCAGCAGGCTCCAGGTCAGCGGCAGCCCCGGGTGGGGCACGCGTGGAGATGGGCGACGGCGAGGCGCACCGAAAGGGGACATACGCAGAGGGCTAGCTCGGCAGAGAAGCCCACGCCGAACGGTCAAGCGAACGGCGGAGCAGAGCGGCCGGGGTGGGAGGCGGCGCGGGACACCGCTGGGCGCGCCCCATCCCAGCTGCGCGTCGATGGCTGGATCGATACGTCCCGGAAAGGAGCATGTCCATAATTGCCATCCGCGTGTGCCAACGAGTTAGGACCGCGGCTTTTGAACGTCGGAAACACCCATAATGGGGATGCACGTGGGACGGAGGCCATTTGCCTTCTTCCCGCACAGCAAGCAGGACCGTCCAAACATCGAGTAGACTAACAGCACACGACTCGCAGAAAGGGAAACCCACACGGGGAATCGCCGGGGTGCATGCCGAGGATCGTGCGTGCCAGGTCACCACTGCAGCCCGTCACGCGGAGCTTTGGCGCCGAACTCTGTCCTGTTGGCTCTGTCAGTCAGTGCGGTACTTACTCTTAGTTCAAGTGTCCGCCACCAGGGCCGGCGCGCGCGCTAGTGTGCAACATCGGGCGTCGCGTGTACCTCTGCCGTCGTCCAAACACATCTGAACGTGCGCCGTGTATTGCGGTGAAGCACGCACAACAGACACGTACGTGGCCAGCCGGTCTCTCCAGCTGACCGCACCCCGATCGTGTTTTTCTTCGTCTCAAACGGCACCTCGCCCAAGAACGGACAGCGCCGCGCCAGGTTACCGTACAGCAAGCCCACGGAACGGGAAATACATTAGTCGGACTGGGCGCCGAATCCGCCCCAGCGTTAATACACGGCTCCGGCGTGCCAGGATGAGCATTATGTCTTAAGTGGCGCCCGACTCATCACTCCGTCCCACCCCGCCAGTAAACACCCACGTACAGCTAGCCACGACACACCGGGACAACGGAGCACAGTCTTTGGGTTGTGCGTGCTCCGGGGAATGGACGCGACGCCGTGGAAGAGAGCGCGCTCACGGGGCCGCCGGAGCCGACAGTGACAGCGGTGGCGGGAAGGAAGTGCCGTGGCTTGTGCACGATGTCCGTCGGCCAGCGGCAGCGGCCTAGCCCGCCACCGCCGGCGGCGGACGCCGCGCCCGACCCGTTACAATCCCGTCACTACACACCTACAGACTACGGCGGCGGCGGCGGCGGCGGTGACCGGCCCGCTGCCACCGCGCTAGTACAGAACACACCCGAGATAAACTGCGGACACCGTAACAAAAGCGATAGACAGCGGACGGCGTGCCGGTGGCGCCACCGGGCTGCGGCGGCCGCCGGACGCGTTAATACTCCTCAGCCCGGCGCCGGGGCGGCAACCGGCCGGCGGCGGCGGCAGCGCTGGCAGCGGCGGCGACGGCGACGGCGGCCAGCTAGCTGGCCTTGGAACGCGTGGCTCGGCCGCCGCCGGCCGGGGACGCACCTGAGCCGGAGGCCGCCGCCGGCGGCACCTGAGGCCGGATCCGGAAGCAGAGGATGTTCATGTGCGCGCAGATCTCGTTGCAGATCTTGCGCCAGTAGTCGAGGAAGTCAACCAGGCCCCAGATCTGCGAGCGGCATTAGCGGTCAGGGCGTGGCGGTCCGCCGGCCGCGGCTTCGGCAGCATGTTACGTCAGTGGTGTCATGACTTGTGCCGATTACAGGGCGGCTCGGACGGTCTGTCCAGCCAAGCATCGATTACAGAGCACCAGGCGCCATATTCGGCCAAACATACGCAACAGAAATATTTCGAATTTAATGTAAGGGCCGCCAAAGGACATGCGCGATCTTCGGTTGGAGCAACCACTTGGTCTTAGTTCGATGCCTGCTTCAATGCGGCGGTTCTCTGCATTATATAGCTTTGCACGAACACTTAAAGGCGATCCAAGGCGACCCCTTGGATGCGATGCGCAAAGGCGGAAAGACATTGCAGCTCCCCATGACACCGGCCACTGCCGTCTATGGACACAACCACTTGTCACTCACCAAGCACACCCACAGCACATAGTACTCGCGGAAGAACGTGTTGAAGTACTGGTTGAGGAACAGCATGGCCGGCCCGATCATGCAGGAGTCGAAGTACTCCAGCTCGGACTTGGTCATGTGCGCCACCTGTTGAAGGCCGGGCGGAAGGTGTCAGACGTCTGGGGCACAGACGCGGCGTCAGCAACACAGACCTTCCGTCCCGCGCCACCACTCAGCGAAGGTCAAACACGCGGCTGGACTTGCAAGAACATCGTAATTCACGGCTGCTACCGCGCCCAACTAAACCGTAACTTACAACACCAGAATAGATAGTCAGTGCAGCGTTCAACTAAGACCCCAGCGAACCTACGCTGATCCCGAGTAACGCCCCTCACCGCAGGTCCCACCATCCCCAGTCCCCATCAGTTTGACCGGAGACCCTGGCGACGGCAGCTGACCATCACCGCTCACCACCAGTTTGCAGGTGACCTTAGAGGCCACCATGGCAAAAGCGAATATGTAGAGCACTGGGTGGGTCTCGTAGACAATCTGCAAGGACTTGCGGTAGATGACGAACGCCGGCACGACCACTAGTGCCAGCGGGATGCTAGGCGACAGCACCGACGTACCCTGGCGGCGGGGACGGAAACTACGGGTAACAGCGCTCCCGGCCTCGTTTTCAATCGGTTCTGTGCGGACGAGAACGAACCTAAGTCGCACAGAAAAACGCAACATATCGAAACATGCTAGGTGTACGTTAACATTGGGTCGCTTACGACACAATTTCACCGAGCATAGAAACCAGCTTTCCAGCTGAGTAGACTACAGCAGTACAAGACTCGCGTCTGGTGCCGAAGAACGCACACATTTATAACCTTTATAACAATACAAAAAGGCGCGTCTTACGGCAAGCCGTTGCTGATCACGTAATGCTTATTCGAATGATGTCTACGAAAATACAGCCAAGGTTGCAAGGTTAAAAACAGCACTCTGAATTCTACACTGACGGAAGGCATATTTGCAATGGTAACCAAAACGTCCATCGTTCACTGGCAAGACTCGAGATTCTCACTGGCGAACATCAGATGCGCTCAATGCTGTGTTCTGCAGCAACCCAGAGCCCGACACCCGCCCAAACCTCTCCCCCACACAACACAAGCCTCCAAGCACACATTCATAAGGCAGGCATGCTCCCCTCGGCCGTGCCACACATGCTTCCCGCGTACTAAGCGCACCATCCGAGCGGCCACGCGGCGTCGGGCCGGCCGGCCGGTCGGCTAACTCCAGCCGAGACGAACCAGGCCACGCCGGCCGAGCTCGATACGCGGGACGCGCCCGCCGCGGCGGAACGCCCAGGTAATAACGAGCGCCGGAGGTCGGACCCCAGACGGCGGCGGTCGATACAGACGGACCCGGAGCCGGAGCCGGACGGCGGCGGCGGCGGCGGCGGCGGCGGCGGCGGCGGAGATGGGCGGCGGCCGAGCCGGCCACCAGGCGGCTATTTTGATACGCCGCCGACCGAGCCACCGCCACGGCTTTCCCAAATCGAAAGTCAGACGTTCATTTGGTCACGAGACTGGGGCTTGGCATTAGACTGCCTGCGGATGGGAGCTCCACGCGTTGATGTGGTTGTCTCCGTTGGTCTTTACTGGCACTCGCAATGAACAACTTAAACACCCCTGTTGACACTGCCGACCACATAGCACTAACGCAGCTCACGCATCCATCTACTTTGCTTACGGGCACAAGTTCTGCACTGTCGTCAAGGCGACATGGAGAGTGTTGATAACAAAGGTGCTCTTAGAACGCGGCACAAAAATCCGTCGCAAGATCATCGCAAACAGTTCACAAACACCTGGTCCGCATAGCTGCTGAAACCTGAGAACTTATCAAAACCTTATGCTCATAAAAACAGGAAATGTTAAGACTCCCGACTATTTGGTGACTTCAAGACACATGCTTTCTTTTTACGGATTGTAACCGGAAGACGAAAATTGATGCAGTAGCGTTCCAGAAAGCCAACTGTGGCTTTTGGCACAGGTTTCTCGTATTGTGAACACAGCGTCATTAACAACTTACTCAATGTATCATGATGCTCAGCAAATAGTTTTGCCACATTTAGCTCTTGTAAGACTGTTATACAGATTATCCCGTCCCTAGCAACGTGCATACGGCTTTAGCGTTAAGCCATCAGTACAGTGATCGCCACTGATAAGGCCATCGGCATGCCGCGGCCAGGCAGGGTCACGCCCCGTCCGGCTGACAACGCGCTGCGAGGACCTCATGACCGAGCCCCCGCGCATTGTCGGCCACATGTTCCCACTATCTGCACCACTTGAGACGCGCTGTACGACCAGGCCAGAGGTCGAAGGTCAGCGGGGGCTGGCGCGCGGCGGACGGCGCGTGCAGCCAGACCTTTCGCGTCCGTCCGCAGCCAGACCTTTCCCGTCCGTCCGCAGGCAGACCTTTCCCGTCCGTCCGCAGGCAGACCTTTCCCGTCCGTCCGCAGGCAGACCTTTCCCGTCCGTCCGCAGGCAGACCTTTCCCGTCCGCCCTCCGCGGCGAACCCGACCGACGGCCGACGTCACAGTGTGGAGGAAAGTGCCATGCAAAGCGAATAACGGCCAGCCGAGGCAACAAAACAGACCTCGCATCCGTCGCAAAGAGACGCCACGAGCAAAAGCAGCGAGTCAACTGGAACCCAGTTGCAAATGTTCCCACATGCAAACAAAGTCGCAATGCGTGGCATCACCGCACACTGCATTCCCTGCGACAGCTACAATGATGGCAGAGTGCAAAGCACAACTACGGTGCGTTATCGCAACGCAAATTAAAACGTCCTTGGCGTGGCGCCACTGCGCAGGGGTAGAGAGACGGCCGCTACACAGGCGAACAACGCCGCCGCGCTGGGCGGGGGCGGCGATGCGGCGGAAGGGAGAGGGGGGGGGGGGGGCTTTGGAAAGCCACTCACGGCCACGCTGGATCCGTTTTTGCCCACACCTCCACGGAAAATGCGGCCGAAATACTGGTGAACGTGGAAGCCGCCCATGGCCACGGTGACCGCGCACGTGACCAGCTTCAGGGGCAGGGTCACGGCGCCCAGTCGGATCTGAGGGGAGCGGGCGGTGGCAAGGGCGACGACCGGTCAGGGCACACCTCACTCCACCGGCCGCCGCGTCAGACGCGGCACGCAGTCCTGACGGAGGGGCAGCCGGGCCCGTCCATCGGCCGGCGGCGCTGACACCAGAGGACGAGCAGCGCCGGGGTCACGGGGCACGTGGTCCCCTGTCGGTTCCGTTAGCTGTAAACGCCTCTTGCTGGAGGGCTGTGGCGTGTGATCACAGTGGGCTGGACAGGGCTGAGCTGTGCAGGACTCCCCCTGACCCACCCCACTCAAACCGTCTGCGTAGATAACGCCTGGGCACAAAATTCGGTCCACAGCTACCATTCAGAGTATTCCGGCTGCACGCAACTCATTTAAACGGGACGCGAGGGACATGATGGTCAAGGCGTTTGAAAACTGCGCTCCCACGTGCAATGCCCGGCCTCGCATTCCGACCGCAACAGGACCCTTGGACGCTAAAACGACCAACCGCACTCACTAGCGTTGCGTTTCCTTTGAATTAGCATACTCATCTGAAATGAAACGTGCAACGAGCAAGGCGAAAACCTTTGAATTAGCCTACTCATCTGAAATGAGATATGCAACGAGCAAGCAAAAATGCTGAATGAATCAGTTCTGGCCCGAACCAGTCATTCCATTCAAATCAACCGTCATTGGCAGAAGACGCACTCTATAGAGCACGGCAGACCGTCCAAAGCAGCGAATTCTGCATCAGCGAATGGGTAAGTCGGCCCGATGATTACGCAGCGCGCGCTCAGCCTCGATTCCGTGCTTACGCAGCCGCCGCAGTCCGACGGCCGCTGACACAGCTGACAAAAAATACAGCCGAGCAATAACAAACGCTGCGGCAGACGCGCCGCCCCACGACACCGACGACGGTCGCTCCGAAGACTGCCAGCAGCTGGCACAAGCTGTGAGATCCCGCATGCGTTTGACCCAATCAAGCGACCCTGCTCCCCAGCCGGCACCGCTGTGTATAGCGTGGTTAGTTTCAATTCGCCGTGATTTCCCGCATTCGCTGGAGGATCGGAAGAGCGTCGCGCCGTCAAGGATGCGTACCGAAGAACACACAACTGTATTTCGACGCTACCCATCCACCGAGCGGTAGAACCAGACACAAAACATTCAAGCTACACAAACATGGACGAGAAACGCCGCCGCACACAACAGCCACACCAGAGTAGGAGGGGGGGGGGGGGGGGGGAGCCAGAGAGAGCGCTCGCAAGCAGTGCAGCAATGGTGCGCAGGGGTCCCGTTCTGAAAACCAAGGAGGAACGGAACGGTGGATGGCTTACAGCCACGCTGGATCCGTTCTTGCCGACCCCGCCGGTCAGGATGACTTTAAAGCTGCCGACCAGATGTACTGCGGTGGGCGCCAGCCCCAGCAGCACAGGCAGCGCCTTCACCTTAAGATTAGTGCCGGTGATCTGCAGGGCGCGCCACGGTCAGCCCCGCGGACGGGTGCGAACACGGAAACACGGGCGGGAGCTATGACAAAGCTTGAGCTGATGGGGCTGTCCCACTGACGGCTGATGCAAATCGCTACGGAAGAAAACAACATGCTAAACAACAAATAATATTACCAGGGCCATCGGGTAGTACAGTAGTCAGGCAAGCTGTGGTCAAACACAAACGGCTAAAAATTCAACGCACACAAAAGGCGCGCTTCACAAACAAAACATGAGGCGGAAATAGAGCCATCAAGAGAGGACAAATCATCAGAACGGACGTCATACAGGTGGCCAGGGAGCGCGCACACCACTGCGACGAGTTGTGGAGGATCCCCTGGCCCGGTTAGGCGCGGACCCGCCCAACTCGAGCCCGGGCCAGGGCCGGGGCCGGGGCCGGGTCGGCGGACGCTGGCCTGGCTTCGAACACCCACTGATAGCCCTCCGGATGGTCGGAAAGTCAGGAAGAGAAGGGGAGGGGGAGGGGGAGGTTGGCAGGTACGGCTGGCGGCACGCGACCAGCGGCAGCCTGTTCTGACGGGAGCGGGGGGGGGGGGGGGGAGCTGAACGCTCAGACATCCCCCACAGGACGGACTGCGAGTGTGCCCCGGGACGCAACCGGCCAGGGGCTCGGGAGGCGGCCGGCTCAGGTGAAGCGACCACTTCAGAACAGGAGGGGGGAGGGGGGGGGGGCACTGACGACTGGGTCACGGGCTAGTCACCCTTACGCCCGGGTCCAACTGCAGCTGTCATGTCTGGGAGCCAGCGCCGGGCTGCCGCTTCAATCGGCGGTGACACACTCAATCTTATCGGGACAGGACAGCATACACCAGCACAGAGGACAAATAAACACGCCATGGTGACAGGAGGGCACAGAACTTCAGACCCTGGCCCACCCCAACAACTCCACAAAGGGATTCCGGTAGCACCGCTTTGCCAAGCTTTACCAACAGTCTAATTTAAAGAGCACTGAAAGAAGCGAGCCATGCCCCACACAAACGGCTCCGGTCACCTTTAGCTATAGTGTTTTGTGTCGCTACGAATCCTGTCATAAAAGCAAGGGGAAGTGAGTGGGAGATGCGAGACCCGTACAGTTTTTTAGCTATCCCCCCAAGACACTCCACCGATCATCACTGAATTCTCGTTGGCCATGTTCTACGACCTTTACATTCCATTAACATATTTTAGCCCCCACTCCCGTCCCGTCGCTGACCAATGGCCCCAGTACCATGACTCTGGAGTGGGGGAAATGGGAAAGATCGCCGCTCCGCAAAGTGTAATCAGCTCTGTGTACAGCAGGCCTCGTCCAATGCTCTGAAGCGGTTGTACAGTGGATGTTATAAATCCCCCTCACCTTCGCCGAGGTCAAGCGAGATAAAATGCTGCAGTCCAGATAAAATTGAACATAGTTACATGATGAGCCAAATGACTGTCGCAGTTAATGGATATGCGAGGGGCATTCATGGTTAAGGTAAAATCACGTCAAGTGTTGAAAACCGCCACTACTGGCAGCCTTTCAGTGTTTTAATATCGTTACTCACTAAAAACCGGAAGTGGAGCACCGTCCGCAGTCAGGGTTGTCATCTCATGGAATAACCTCGAGTGGCCTAACAATGCCCCCAGAAACAATGGTGGCATGTTTTGATAGCGTGTTTTTAGTTTAAGCCCATATGAACGCTGCGTACAGGCAGAAAAACGTGTTTCGATCTAATTTGTCCCAAACATGATGGGTAAGCCAAAAAAAAAAAAACTTCAAAACGGCTGCCGTAACGATGACAGGAAACCACGTTTGGACTAGCACTCCTTTTCCCACTTCCCATGTGTGGGGTCGGCGAGTGACGTGACGCCCGTGCCATCACAGTCAGCCGAATGCCATGCACTGGGCAGACTTCCGATGAGACCGATGACAGACAGGCAGATGACAGCAAAACAGAAGACCGCACAGACAGGCGGATGACATCGGTACGGACTCTACTTCACAAGCCCAGGCAGGTGGAATAGACTACGTCACGAATCGTACTTAATGACCCAGCGGGATTCACCCAACACTACTGGGTCAAAGCCACAATCGTAATTTATCAGCAAAGGAGGCACATCTGCCACAACGCCCAAATTCTGGGGACTTCCTGGCACTGCGACTGGTTGGTCCTTAAACGCTCGCTTGTGGCCGGACTGTCAATGGAGATCTAAACTGAGCCCCAGCTAGACTCCAGCACTCAAGCCCCAAACAACTCCACCAAGCGCCAACAAATCCTCTCCTTCCTGCCCAGCGCTGCGCAGAGTTCCGCGCGGGTCACGCACAGTGACGCAACTCGAACACCCCTGCCGCGGAGGGAGCACGGTGACCTGACCTGGGTATTCCAAACGTCGGGCCCGAACACGGCGCCGACCAGGTACAGGCCGATCACGCACCACTGCTCCTCAGTCACGTCGATCTTGCCGAACTTCAGCGTGCCTGTTGACAGCCACGCATACGTCGGCCGAGGATCGGGGTCGGGCGCGCCGAGCGCGGCACGCGTCAGCCGGCGGCCGCTCCAGTGGTGAGGCAGCGCATGGTGCCGGCGCGGCAGGGTCACGCAATGTGGCGGTACACGGAAAAACGACAACAAAGGCTGCTGTAATTGTAGTGCCAGGCGGGAGCGAGCCTGGCCCGGTGACAGCTGCCGTATCTGCCGCGCTTGATCCGGCGCAGACGGGAGTCGTGCAGCCGGATAAGATCTCGTCTCGCACGCCACGAGCGGCATCCTCGGCTCGGTGATTGTCTGCGACGAGGCCGGCCTAGAGAAGCAGACCAGGGCTGGGACACCCGACCCCCACCGGGCCGAGGGGAAGACGAGGCGGGGCGCGCGAGGGCCTACCTGAGACGAACGTCTGCCAGTGGGCGCAGTAGAAGAGTGAGATGGCCGTGAAGCAGACCACGAACATCATCATCGGGTACTCGCCCAGGCTGGTCATCGTCGACACGCCCACCACCACAAATACTGCAACGGCAAGGGGCACGTGCCGTCACGCATCCACAGGCGAGCCAAGCACCACCACGAATGGTGCAACGATGAGGGGTATTAATGAGGCTCCACAACAGCAGGCAGCAAGTAGTGAAACAGCACGAGACCAACGTGAAATCACCAAGCGATCGTCACCATTGATACCGCAGCGACCAGGGATACTCCCCGTGACGCCGCACACGGTCACCACCGCGAACACGGCCTACAGTGACGTCACACACACCAATTAGCACCACCAACACTGCAAGCAGCGCAGACTGGAAGCCACATGCAAGCAAACATCGCAAACGTGGCGGAACCGGTGTCGGTCGCGTTACAAGCACGCAGCGACCGTAATGACTGCAACGTTGAACAACGCGAAAGTCAAGTGACCGCCAAATGCAACAAAGTTCCGGTTGCCCGACACTTAAAAACAACAAACGCCCCACATGTCCCCAACATGCTGGCAAAAGGCTGCCGGGCGGCCGCCGCACTCACTGACGGAGACGGAGTCGCAGCCGTGGTCGAACAGCTCGCCCAGCGGTGACGAGGTGCCGGTGCGGCGCGCCTGCTTGCCGTCGATGGCGTCCAGGCTCTGGTAGATGAAGAGGCCGAGCGCCACCAGGAAGCAGGCCCACTGCGGCGTCTGCCGACGACGGCAGTCTCCGTTCACTAGGCTCCACGTGCGCTCAAACCGGTCCCGCAGGGTGGCCGCCTCGTGTGACGGCCGTGTGGCGAGCAGTGTGGGACACATGGGATGGAGTGAAGCATCTGCACGGGATGCGCAGAGTCGCTGTGGCTATTCCACGACGCGCTTCACTGTCATTGCCGGGCGAAGGAGTCATGGAGCATTGGAGTGTTGCGCGGAGGGCATACGAGATGCGGCGAGACATTGCCGCTGGCGCCCTTAATTACCGGAAGTTATTCGAAGCCCATTACCAACGACCATGTGCCAAGGTTTCTCGCACTAAGATGGTAACCCATTCCACCAATATGCATGATGAAAAAAAACTGTTTGAGCCTCCTCAGTGTTTTCACGTGACAGCACTGTTGCATGTTCACCAAAAACATGACACATCCTACAACACTAGCATACAATCTGTTGTCATCCAGACCACAAACAAGAATTTCTTTTGTTTTGACACTTGGTCATGGCATAGATAAGACTGAAAGTCAAGCATCAAGCAGGGGTAATGCAATGGCACTGCTGCACCTACCTTGCCCTTGGCATCTGGACTGTAGTACACCAGAATGAGTGTGGTGATGATGTTGACAGCCAGGCCAGCCAGCGTGATGAGGTTGGGTGCCAGCCACAGTGGACACTTGGTCACCAGCCAATTCCACCATGGCTGCATGAAAGGATCCAGGATGCTGTTGCTCTGGCAGCTGTACTTGTGTTCATCCAAGCTCTGGAGCTTGGCTGGCGACAGCAGGCGGTCTCGGCCAAACAACATCATGCAGAGTTGGATGTGGTTTGGAGGTTTGCTTCAGCTGGTAGGGCTGCAACAGAGCATGAAGGGACAAAATGGCATCAGTGGTGACCCATAACAAAATCTGAGAAAGTAGCTGTTGAAAACAAGATAAGTGGCAGAACTGGCATTGTTGTTCACTTCTGACATCAAATGAAAACCATGGTGCATTGCCTGTAGCAATGGACCACAAAATCCCATGCTCAGTTATTGGTTGCATTACTTTGAGCTTTAATATTCTTCAAACTTTATTCACTTCAAAAATTTCATGAAACTATCATTTCAGTGGCATCACAAAACTGACAGCATAAAAGCAAATTTTATTCAAATATCCCCAAGCCTAAAACTGGTTAATGCTGTTGCATTACATTTTCCATGAAATGAAATGATTATTAACTAATCTTCCAAGTATGAACATGTGAATACAACATCCATGACCTTGAAAAATGCTGATAAGTGGGTTTACCTAGCTTACCAATCTAACAGATGCCTTACATGCTTTTCTGTTTTACTTAACTCCATGAGCAATACATCAAGATCTATGAGCAGAACATGCCAGAAAGCAAAATGAACAGTTTGGTGCTAACAGAAGTGACGGGACAGCAAGATGGGAGGTGCAATTTGCGCAGCCCACACAAAAAAAGTCCATCCCGGGAGCTGAACTGTGTCTCTGCTGACATCTGTGTAACACTGAGGCACTGAACCTAGCACACACATGCTCCAAACTCAGGCCAGTACAAACTGGGCTGAACATGCAAAGTGCTTTTGCTTAAAAAGGTGTTTTGGAAGTTTTTTTTGCCAAGTTACCATCACAGTATCTTAACTCCCTATAAGCATTGGCAGCCTGTTCCCTGAAATTGATAGTGGCCATATACCAATCTCTGAGCACTCAGATTAAAAAAACAGATATCTATTGAAATTGCTGCTGGGATATCACTGCTATGCTGCTCCACTGGACATGTCCAGCAGCAGTCTGGCAGCCTGGCTGGTAGGAAGGATAAGGGAGTGGCAGGAAACAAGAATTATTTAAAGGGATAAGAATCTGAAGGATGGATTATGTTTTTGCTAAATTAGTTGTTAAATGAGACAACACTAAGATACCATCAAGCAAAATTGAAGCAATATAAACCATTCACAGTAGAGCAGTGGGAAAACACAGTCTGAGACAACTTTAGTTCTTTAATATCACCATAGTTCTCTGCATATTCTTACATCTTATTTGATAACCAGATGTTCATTTTACAGTGTCATACCAGGGTATGACCTTGATCAAATCATACCCAAAGAAATTCTTACATGCTGGCATGAATTTACTGCACCTAGACCTATTACAATGTACTGCAGCTACCAATATTTGTGTATTAATGCACTAAAACTACTCACTTTAAGGATCTAGCCAATATGGTTAAGTTTTAAGTGCAGAAACATTTACATTCTCTATGTACTGCAAGCCTTTGATGGGTATATGGGAAAATGTTCTACCCAATTCCAACCTATAAAATTTGTGCAGGTAATATGAGTCTATTTGGGCTGCTTGGAACATTCCCCTTTCTGGGCTTGTGTTAGGACCAAAGCTGAGCTTCAGTAGCATCCATATTTATAAAATGTATTCATCTGATACAAATAAACAGGTACTATTACTACTACCATAGGCAACACTATGAATGTTTGTCTCAGAAATGCACTGATCAATTAAACCCGCACACCATGTTCACAGTGAGTTTTTTTACCAAATAAATGTGCCTGCATGCTGTTAAGCAGCATCTGCAGCCTGGTGAACCAATTAGAAACTTGCACTTTGCAACCTTTCTGGGAAGACAGCACAAAAAGGTATGGCGATCAAGTACTCCTACGAAAAATTTCTGCTTACATTTATAGCTCTGTGTGTCCTGCTGATCCGTTAGCATAACCCGTGATTACAGCACAGCCATATCGCACGACGACCAGCGAAAAGGTCCTTTTATAAACTGCCTTACCTCAATATCTCCCAACGCAGTCACGGAACCATCTGGCGCACACACACGCCCTCATCCCGCGGGAGTCCGAACCACTGTGAAAATCGACTGCAAGGATGGCTAATGCGTCGATTCTGGCTCCAAAATGCTTGGAGGAGTTTGTTGACCTTTTTTGCTGCTGAAGGAAACTTTTTCGTATACATACCAGTGCCCGATGGGAATTTGTAATATTATACATTTTTATGGCAACAAAATTAGTTTTTGAACAGATAATTTGTATAACCATATCATTAGATGCAAACGCTGTTGGCATACTACACATGTAAACTACAAGAATGCAACTTGATATAAAAATAGAGCTAAAACTTTTTGGGAATACAGGGTCGAGATGTGGAAGCATCCGTAGTTGCATTTGTTGAAGGGGCTGTTTCATTTCTGGCGCAAAGCCATATTTCTGTTTATTTGGTGGCGCCGGTAGTGTGGTGGTTAACGCGTTTACGTTGACCGCTGCGCGTCTGGGAAACCAGAGGTGCGGGGTTCGTTTCCCCGCGGTGCCTGCCCTTCCTCCCAGGGTGAGAGGCAGGCGACGCCATATAGCCTCAACAGCTGAGTGCGTCGTAAAGGCCCAATGACAATGTTTATTTGGCCTGGCGATATCACTGCGTCGTTATTTGACTTGCGCTTGAACATGCACCGGACGCGCGTTTATGTCCGGAGAAGGCATTAGGCGTACCTACCCCCCTCCCCCAAACCGCGAGCCATCCATATAGACGATGTTTGTACCCATTTATCGATGCATGACATGAATACAAGCATCCAATGAGCCGTACACTGCCATTTGAATATGTAGCGACCTTGCTGAATGATAAAATTCCTTGGTTACTGAGCCAACAAATAAGATAGATTGACTACATTAGCAATGTGTTAGCAAAATAAACAGTATTGGCTGTTTGCTGGTGTCCTCATTTATGTTGTGTTTCATCAGAGAAGGATGTTCTTCACTCTTGAAAAGGGCTAAAAGATGTTATCATCCATGAATTGGTACAACATTTAAGGTTGGGGGTCAGGGTAATGCATTTCACAAATATCCATGAGCTTTTACTCTGACTTTTGCAGGACAGTATTCTGCTTTGATATTGATGGGGATGATACAGGCTCATTTTCACTATATGTTTTGGATAATTTGTCTGCAACATGACAGCACCATGCTGTCTACCATGGCCAGTGTTCCAATACAGAACAAACCATATTCATGCATGCACTCATGCCCATGGATATGCATGATATGCATGCATGCTTACACATACACACCATACATGTAAGGGATTGCAACAGAACTATCAGAAAAACATTATTTCTGGCTGTGCCTGGCATGTTTTGAAATTGCCCCCTTCTTCACATAGTTACCTGCATGATTTCTGTAATTTACCACCTTGGTCATCTCCATATGCACTCTGCAGGTAGTTACAAAATATTTAGAGCTGTATAGTTAATGAAAATAAAAAACTGCTTTTAGTATAGCCACACCCTCACCTGGGCAGACATTCACATTTGGTGTCATCATGTGCTGTCCCACCTGGTGATCAAATGTTCTCAAATGGAGTGGGCCAAATGCCTGCTTTAGCCAATTCTCTCCAAGCATGACATTGGGGTGTGAGTTCAACTTTGCCAACCGTGGGTGGGTTGTTCGGCCAGTGTTTCTTCGCTACGCTGATCGCTCAGCAGAACAACATGTCCCGGTCGGGTTACTGGGTCACTGTGGCGTTCTGCGCGCCCAGTCTGGTCTGAGCGGGCAGGGACCGACGCCACACGAGCAGCTACTGCGGGGGCTTCGTCGGCAGCGGCATGTCCGATCGGAGGCAGAGGCCCGGCACTGCGGCGGCAGTGCGACACGGTGTATGTAGCCAACGGCTGATGGCCGAGCCGTTGTAAAATGTGTCGAATGATTTCCTGGTCCAGTCAGTGACAGAGTGCGGCAGCTTTGTGGCTTTCGAAGCGAAGAATGGCGAGCTTTGCCATACCCGGAAACTTGCGGTTAACCCATGGACATGACATCATTAACCTTACTGTCCTAGCCTAAGATCCTCCCGTTTTGTAGCGGTTGCGCGCGCACCAATTTGTTTTTGTCGTTTTTTTGACGCTGCCCTGTATTTCAGTTCGGAAAGTGGTGCTGGATATACGACATCAATTGTGGATTAAACAGAATGTTGGTAAGTTTTCATATCGTTTATTTATAGATTAAGGCACATGAGTTCTTCCGCAGAGTGACGGTAGCCCCAGCTCCTCGCGATATTAGTGTGGCATGGATTTGTCTTGAACATATCGCCGAACATATTCTCGAAGCCACCATGCCCGCTCATATGCTAAGTGCGTGGTTCCATCATCATGCTCGCCAGCCAGATGGAGTTGTACAATCACCCACGCCGTCTTGTGGTTGTGGTCACAAACTCTATTTTCACTAGCGGCCACGAGATGGGGTTAGAATTCAATGAAGACGTCGCACAACGGCCGATCCGGCATACATCCGACAAGCGCCAAGTTGCGCATGTCGCACCGAACCCAACTCAAAAGCAGATAAATAGCTTCTTTTTCGCCGTCTTGAAACCATGCCTTTGCCATTGCTCTCTGCTTCCGGCGGACCTCAACTCTTGCGATATATTGATGCAGTAGGTAGACTCGAGCTTCCAAAGGTTATACCATGCGGTCTTGTCAGTGTTCTTTCGCTACCTCTGCGTGTCCGCTGACTATCCGACAGTTATTATTGATGTCTGTGGATCTCGGGGATTGCTTGCCCTGCAGCGGAACTCCGCACCAATCTATGGACGGTGCTAACGCGCGCACCGAGCTCCAGGGGCCGATCCCTTTGTTGCGGACTATGCTATTGGTGACGCTTGTAACTACAATGCCGTGCTTAGACATGGGGTATACATTATGGTCGTTGCATGAAACAACACAGCTTTCATGTCTGCCGCGCCTGTCAGCAATCTTCAGCGCGATGCATGACCGACGGGGCATCCGTGGTTTCTATTGTGGCAGCTTTGTGCTAAATGTCGGTATCGGTAGCGTTCCCTGGTTTGTATAGTGCTTGATAAAGATTCACCTGGCATGAGCTGCATAGCTGTCGTAACATGCGTGCCTCTGACGGTTTTTACCCGTCCCGACGGCAACACTTTCACTGTCATTCCGCTCAGTTCCGCGCAAATGAGAGAAAAAACATCGCGGTAGCAGTTCTCGTGCGAAGGGCGCGATATACAGATAACGTTCAGGTGTGCTCAGACACGAAATGCGTGGAACAAAACAATGCACAGCTCAGCTGGGTTGGGATCAGGTGATTATGGTTGCAGGAGATTGCTGCAAAGTCACACATATCGTCACAATCCAATAGGTCATTATCTCTTGCAGCCTGATTTCACCCTAGTCTCAATGGGAGTTCAATGTATCGCTTGCATTTCTTGCAACTTCATCGTATTGCTGGAATATATGTGCACGTGCAGCAAGTTCGTCGACTAACGTCACGGGTGACTGAACACCGCGTCAGGGCAGCAAGTTCGTCGACTAACGTCACGGGTGACTGAACACCGCGTCAGGGCAGCAAGTTCGTCGACTAACGTCACGGGTGACTGAACACCGCGTCAGGGCAGCAAGTTCGTCGACTAACGTCACGGGTGACTGAACACCGCGTCAGGGCAGCAAGTTCGTCGACTAACGTCACGGGTGACTGAACACCGCGTCAGGGCAGCAAGTTCGTCGACTAACGTCACGGGTGACTGAACACCGCCTCAGGGGACGGGGCATCAAAAGTCGAGAATAAGCGTCTCATTTCGGTCAGCTCTGAGCGCTTCGCGGTGACAGCCCTCGCCGCATTTAGTCGTGCAAAAGGCATGTCATGAGGCCGACGCTTCAAATAATGTTTTTTTTTTCGCGACAGCAGCTTCCCGTCCGCTTCGCCGGATGCACACTGGCAACCATTGACGCTCCTGGCTTCGGTCCTCCTGCGCACCGCAGTCAGAGGTCCTCCATCAGTACACGGAGCTGCGTCTGGCCCGCCGCTTGATAGCTCCCGGCACCGTCGGCCCGCCCCACCTCAGCGCGGACTCTCGCTCCCGCCTCTTCCCCTCCCTGTCCGCTGCCGCTCCACCGTGCCGTTTTGCGGTGTGTCACAGATCTCTGATGAGACCCGCAGGTTGGCAGTGCTCTCGAGGAGCGTTACCCAGCACCCTCTTCACATTACGCCATGCTCATCGGCTGTTGCTGCACCCATTTACCAAGCACCCGAGCGCCATTGACTGCAGCTCTTCGCCGCTCTCGCACTGCGATGGCCGAGCTCTTCGCACTCGTTGCTGGTGGCGACGATGACTTGCTCTGATGTGGCGTGGCTCCAGGGTCATGTGATAGCAGCCCAAGACGTTGCAACAGTAGCGGTCCATGCCGAAAGGTGGCAGAGGTAACAAGCGGCGTTGTGCTACCAGTTACGCCAGTCGCTTCTTACTTTGCTGTTGAGGTGCTGCTATGTTCCACGTCTCCGGTGCCAAAGTGCCCGCAACCGCATGACCACAGCGTACTCGACTTCCAGGTCCGTTTCCTTTAAGACATCTCGAACAACATTTCCTTTCGTGAGGTGCCAGGCAATGTGGAACCGGAAACCACAGCGCCGCCGGACTCCGTATCACTCGTGTCGTGGCTGACAGTCGTGAAAGGGCAACAGACTCGGCGCTTTCTGTCGATACACGCAGTCGGAAGGCGAACGGCATGCCGCGGCGCTGCAGCTGCGTCAGGGAACGCGCAATTGACATCATGCAATGGGCGGCTCTATGGCGAAGTCGAGGCCTCGCGGGAAACGTGAGAATGTTCCACATCCGCCTGTGACTGCAGGAATAGCACGCAATCGCCGCTGGAATCTCTCAGCTTTTGGGAACGTTGGTGATGACGTGGGCAGAGTCCATGGAGCCGGCGTGCAGGACAAGGTTGTGGAGAGGTGAAAGGAGCGACCTGTTCGTAAACGCATCGCACTACTGCTTGGACCGAAACAAGTTCGGCAAAGAAACGGCCTGCGGGTCGCCCGTCTGTCGCTCCCCGCAGTGTTGGCCGTGGGCTCGATCCGAGCTTATTACGGCTTCTGAGCTCTCGTCGGGATGCCACGGAGCTGAGCTCAGCTTGGAGTTCAAGCCGAGTGGTGACCAGGTCAATCCTGTGGCAACACCGACGTGACACGCATCGTGGGCACTGATGGGGTTATGGCACGGCTCAGATTTAGCACCTGCACCCCTGGAATGTCCTGGCAAAAACGCCACTGGAAAGGAGGCTTCGACAAAGATGTGCAGGGATAGGATTTATTTCATGCTGATTGCAGACACGGGCACTGCCACTTCCCGCAGTGTGTGATTGCGATGCTTGAAGACGTGATCTACTACTTTGATGGCCCATTCTTTCTTTGGCTGAAGTACAGATGCATGCTCGATTAGAACGATGGGGAAAACTCCGGTAATCATGAGTTGACCGCTCGAGGATTTCTCATGTTCAGATCGCCTTTTGATAATGGGTATAATCTTCATTTTGACTTAGTCCATGGTAACCAATTCCGAAGCGAATGAGCAGAGGCGCGCCCCGAACAAACAACCTGTGGCGCCATCGATCATGGATCTCTATCGGGCGATGTCTGCTATCCGAGTCCGTGACCAGGTGTGGCGGCACCTCTTACCGCGTTGTGCCGGCGGGCACGGCCGCGGGTGGCCCGGCCGGGTCGGTGTCACGGCGACGGGGTGGACTTGGCGGCCATCGCGGCCGGGCGCTGCGCATCGTCGGCGCCAACCTCTGGAACAGGCCGCCTCGGGGCCAGCAGACAGGGCCGAGTCACCGCGGCCGCCTGGATCTCGCCACCCGACCGCAGGACGGACGGAGGCCCGGCGCGCCGACCAAGGTCCGCCCAGACGACGCCACCGGTGAAAGTGACGTAATCGGATGTGGGGCCGGGTCGGTGCCGACCCCGACTGTTTTTAGGCTTCTTTTCTTCGATTGGGCAAATTGGCCCCAATGAGCCGCGCCGCTCACGGACAAGCTCGGTGCGCGCGCCCATGGAGGCGTCGTTAGACCCCGTCTAACGAGCGGGCCGGCATCGGAGCGCGGCCGGTCAAACGCGCCGGCGCCAGTCGCGACGTCATTATCGAGGCAGCTCGACCCGAGCTCCGCCTGGTTTCCTGCGGGGCTCGCCGTTTTGCGGCGGGGCGCTCGCCTGGCGCTGGCTGCGGCGGCGCAAACGGCGGCATCCGCGGCACGGCTCCTGGCCGGCCTGGTGACGGCTCGTGGCCCTCACGCTTGGCCACCTCTGACTGATTGCCGGTAGGCGGGGCCGCCAGAGGAGCACCGGCGAGGTCAGCAGTATTGACGCTCGGCAGGCGGCGGAGGCGGAGCTGCTGAAGAGTATAGGAGATGCGGGCGATTTAGTAAAGAATATCTTTGCATCGGTTCCGACCGTGCAACACCATATGGGGGCTGTTCATTTTTCCAGAGAGTAGGAAGGGAAGAGGGGCAGCTGCCCTCTCGTCCCCGCTCGTGCCGTCACTGTTGACAGGGCATGGTGTGTAAACCCACAGACACTGGAACAGGAGTACGGGAGGTGTGGATGACTGTCCCCATCCCGCTTGGAGATCTGTGGCGTAAGTCCTCTGGTTTTACATCATAACTAATGGTCAACAAAGATCCCACCAACTATGAAGATCCCGCTGCCATGACAGTGTCTGTCGCGCATGTTTACCGTGCTGCCGCGTTTTCTTTCCCGGGGTTCTTGTGCTATTCTCCTGTGTCCTTGCACAGCGCAGCCCTCTGTTTGTGCGCATTCCACGATCCCGTTCACGCTGCTGATTCGCCGTCATGACGGGGGCAATCTCGTTCATCATTCCATGAAGTAACGGTTCAAGAGCCCAGCAGTTTTTCCTTTCATTTTGACCTCGATGAGTTTGAAGTCCAGCGTGGTTCTGCAGCGTCACGTGCTTGTCCATTCGGGGGAGGGGGGGGGGGGGCGAATCTGACCAGCACATGACATGTCTATCCTCGGCCACAAGCCCTGCACCTGTACAGGTGGCCGACCAGCAGGGCCGCATCAGCGGGGCTGCGTGGTCACCAGCGGGACGCCGCGCGATCTGCCATGCGGCACGTGATCGTCTTGTTTGTTCGCGGCGGGGCCATTCGAAACTCAATCACACGGCCACGCAACCTCGAGCGGCCGCGCTGCCGTGGCCCGGGGCGGCGCCGCCGTCGGGACCCACGTGAAAACACACGCTCATAACGGCCGGCGCGGTCACAGGCGGCTTCACTCGCCAAGGTTCGGAGCCGCCGCCGCCGCCGCCGCCGCCGCCGCCCGTGGTGTACTCTGCTGCGTCTGCCCCCAGGCGGCTGACCCGTGACCGATGAAGGACGAGGCGACCCAGCCGCTGACCCAGCCGCGTTTGGGCATGTGGGGCCGGATCAAGGTAACGCATGGAGACGCTGCATGCGCGGGGATGGGTGTCGAGGGTGGACGGAGTGCTGGGGAACGTAAAAGCATGCCGTGAGTGTACTGCAGCACAATCCTAGTCGGCTTCGCACAACCGGTTGTCGTTTTTACCAGCCGCGTGATAAAGCGGACTGCATATCGAGAGATGGCCCGAGATGGCATCTGTAGACGTCTGTAGTGGCATGCTGACTGCTGTCATGCGTGCCGTGCGGGCGTAGGGAGGATGGCGGCTGGGAAAGGCGTACTGCACACTGTCGGCATAGCGACCGCGCCTGGCATGTTTGGCGTTCTTTGCAGGATTTCATCCTGTTATCTGCGCTGGTGGAGACAATGGGTCCGCTGACACGGTTTGGACGGAGGATTTATGTGGAGCCACGAGTGGATGATCAGCCTGGGTTGCGGGATCAGAGCTGACCGCGGTCATGGCTGCCATTACGACAATGACATGGCGTAAGATGGGTGATGGATTCACCGTTATCCGCTTTGGGATTGTATATGGACGGCCGACTCCGTCGTGGTGATTGGTATAGTTGACGCGCCTTGGTTTCTGTATGATTGTTTCAAGGTTTGCCTCGCTGTGATATTGGGTTTACCGGGAAAGGGTTCCACATTGTGATATTGACGGTGTGAAATTAGCGTGATCGAGTGCAAAACGTCATGTGAAACCACCATTTTTTCCATGAAAATGAGTAGAACGGGGAAATCGTTTTGTTCCGCTGTGAGAGCCAATCGAGGAACTAATGGCAAATGTGAGATACGGATCCTCGAAATCTGGATTGGACATGGTATTCCAGGGTCACACTGGCCAGAACAGCGCCGTAGCACTATCGCCGACATGCCAGACCGTCCGATGCAGCGTCGATTGCGCGCCGACGGAAAAGCCCGACCGCCGCGCCGTTATACGGGCGTTTATCTCGTGCCAACTCACTTTCTGCAGTTGACTAATCTCGGGCGGCCGGTCGGATTTCGGATCAGTTTACCGCCAGCGCAGCAGTCCGGTCAGCGGCCCGCCCATGGGAAAGCAGCCACGGCCGGCAGAGCGTCCAGAACTGCTGGCCCGTCTGTTTGGCCAGAGTCTCACGCAGCCACTTTCCCTCTCCGCGCGACGGCCGCACAGGTGCAACCGGTCGCCACTCTGCATCCTGATGCGATTGCCGTACGGTGCTGCCTGCATACCATCAGCATCGCCAAACAGTGCTCTGTATGCACGCTTTACCGCTGCGCTTCACGAGACGTTTACGTAATCATCATTTACATCTTCTAGATCTACTGCGGTGAATGGTCTGCTATTGTGTTTATTCGCCATCAAACGACATGATAGATCACTGCAGGGACACTTCATTGTCGTGTTGGGGAGGCGGGAGAGCCTGCACGGCGGTCTGTCCGTCATGCATGTCTGGGACATGAACAGATAGAGCGCAGTTCTCAACTTGTCTCTGCTGCTCTCCAATCTCTGGTTTCCTGAGGGCCTGCCGGGCGAGCAACTGCCGGGTCCTCGCCCACATATTACAGCTTAGATCCGGCCTGCCGTTTTTTCACAGAAGCCGAATAGATCAAGTGTACCTATCCTGGGGGCACACCCAAGGAAATGCATGTTTCCTCTAAGGAAATATGATTGTCTCAGGGGGATTGCGCTGTAGTCAAACCATGTCTGAATCAAGGAAGAAGGACGTCCAGGCAGCACCAACAGGCAGGTGCCGAATGAAATGTGACGTTACCGTAGTCACTGGCATGCGCCATTTGCAGTGAACCGAAGAGCATCTGCTGCCGTAATCAAGAGCAGGACAGTGTTTCCACTGACACGGGATGTACAGGCACGCGCGAGTTACCGACAACTCAGTTCCGTGATTTGATTTGTACTGCCCGAAGACATGCTGGGTGGAGGGGGGGGGGGGGGGAGGAAACACAATTCAATCTACTGTAGGGACAAAGTCCTAAAACGGTGTAAAACACTGGATTAGATTAGCCCAAGCGAGGACGGCAAACTGGGCTAACGAAGGCTACGCCGCTGTTTCTCCGGGCTTCACCCTCCTGAGAAGTGTGTCCGCGGCCACGTTCCGGCGCGTGGGTGCGCCAGTTCTGCCGCCGGTGCGCCAGTTCCGTCTCGGGGCGCGCTCAGGGCCGTGCAGCCGCCCATTGTTGTGGCCTGTCGACGCGGTCCGGGCGCACGAAACAGCGGCGGCCCGCCACAGTTTACGACCGTGTCGCATGCCGCTCAGTTCACTTCCCGGCCAGTAAAAACAACGGACGCCATGAATGAGCGGACTGGACTCGCCCCGTGACACCTTTGCCTGCCGCTCACGTCACAACAGGGCGGCGAGCTCGCCCCGTGACACGTTTACCTGCCGCTCACGCCACAACAGGGCGGCGAGCTCGCCCCGTGACACGTTTGCCTACCGCTCACGCCACAACAGGGCGGCGAGCTCGCCCCGTGACACGTTTGCCTACCGCTCACGCCACAACAGGGCGGCGAGCTCGCCCCGTGACACCTTGCCTGCCGCTCACGCCACAACAGGGCGGCGAGCTCGCCCCGTGACACGTTTACCTGCCGCTCACGCCACAACAGGGCGGCGAGCTCGCCCCGTGACACGTTTGCCTACCGCTCACGCCACAACAGGGCGGCGAGCTCGCCCCGTGACACCTTGCCTGCCGCTCACGCCACAACAGGGCGGCGAGCTCGCCCCGTGACACGTTTACCTGCCGCTCACGCCACAACAGGGCGGCGAGCTCGCCCCGTGACACGTTTGCCTACCGCTCACGCCACAACAGGGCGGCGAGCTCGCCCCGTGACACCTTTGCCTGCCGCTCACGCCACAACAGGGCGGCGAGCTCGCCCCGTGACACCTTGCCTGCCGCTCACGCCACAACAGGGCGGCGAGCTCGCCCCGTGACACGTTTGCCTACCGCTCACGCCACAACAGGGCGGCGAGCTCGCCCCGTGACACGTTTGCCTACCGCTCACGCCACAACAGGGCGGCGAGCTCGCCCCGTGACACCTTGCCTGCCGCTCACGCCACAACAGGGCGGCGAGCTCGCCCCGTGACACGTTTGCCTACCGCTCACGCCACAACAGGGCGGCGAGCTCGCCCCGTGACACGTTTGCCTACCGCTCACGCCACAACAGGGCGGCGAGTTGGAAGACAATGCTGCTTCGGAGGAGGCAGGAGATTGGCGCTTTAGATAACTGATATTTCATAGGTCCCCATACGACCTTCAGGGCAACTGTTCACGATCTTCAGAATTCGTTTGAGACTTCAAGAGTGCGTGGGGCAACGGCATGCATCCATAGTCGCAAGAACAGAGAACAGAACATATCTGCCGTCAGAGCGAGCAAAGACTGAGAAGGGAACAGTTCTGCCGTCAGAGCGAACAAAGACGGACAGGGGAACAGATCTTCTATCAGAGCGAACAAAGACGGAAAAAGGAACAGGTCTGCCGTCTGAGCGAACAAGGACTGAGAAGGGAACAGATCTGCCTTCAGAGCGAACAAAGACGGAGAAGCGAACAGATCTGCCGTCAGAGCGAACGAGGACAGAGATGCCTCCCCCATACTGTCTGAGACGCTACTTCTCGTTAACATGCAGCAGCGCCCAACGTCTTGGACAGTCTCATTCGTTGTGCGAACAGCACGTTACTGCCCGCTGCGCGACGAACGGAGGCTCGTCACAATGCCCCGTCACACTAGCATCATCGGCACCTTCTCTGGTGGCCGGTCGGCACAGAGCGCTCCAGTCTCCCGTGATCTGCCGGTGAACATGAACTGCTCCAGCTTCCCCGTGTGGGGTGCACTGTTGGAGTTCGACACGGCCTGTCCTAGCCGGCACACCGCTTGTGGAAGTGTGCAGTTTTACGCTAGTTGCAGGCGGGGTGGTCGTGATCAGGCTGGACAAAAGATGCCTTTGTGTAGATGTGCCTCGCAGACTTGCGGTTGACTGCGCGGTGCGAGTTCACTCCAGAATGAAACAACCCATTTGCGGCGAGTCATTGTGAAATCAAGTGCTTTAAGAATTCGGCTAGTGCAGGTTGGGCCAGTTGCCGGTATCCGAAATTGCTTAACTCAGGAATGTTAAGCCTCGTCCTACGAGAGGGGGAGAGGCTCAGACGCCTTCGCGAACGGTTTTCCGGAATGATTTGTGGACAGTTTTGTGCACATCCTTTAAATTCAAGGTTGAGCTTTGTAAACATATGTCAATTTTTGAAGGCCGTAAGATTTAAGCCCTGATGGCACACATCATTTTCCCATTGTCGTTGCCCGTCTAGTTCCCTCATGTTTCGTTTCATTCTTGTTAAGCTGGACGAGACAATGAAACAAAAGCATTCACCCCTTTGCCCGGCATGATGCGTCACAAGTCATGGCTGTCGATGTCCATTAGTCCCGTCTGATAAGATTTTCAGAGAGCTATTTAAAGCTGATTTCGGCATTGTCGTAGTATGTTTTGCGCTTGAGAAATCAAGGGAGGTATGGGAAGCTGATTTGATCCATTTCGCATGGTTTGACCTGGACCCGTTAAAGGTCACGTTAACCATTGCTCAGTCATGTCTAACTGTTTTAGCCTTTGAGATTTATCAAAAGTAAGCTACATTTATCCTGTTCTCGTTAAAACGAGAACTTTCCGATGACGCTTTCGCTAGGGCTCAAGCGTGCTCAGTCCTTGAAATCACATGAGAACTTCTAAGGCCCTTTCACGCGGAAAAGTTGGAACACTCGTAAAGTGAGGATTAACAAACTAGATGCGGTTAACCTGGTTGCTGTTCATGTGTCCCTTATAAAACACTGGGTGTCGTGTCATGTCATCAAAATAAACCTCCATCGCATTTGCAGCCCGTGACACGATTATAGTCTAAGCTGAAACGTTGTCACTCAAATTGATTACATCAGCATCGATCTAGAAATCAATTCACGTCTCCTTGAGCGGGGTTCGAAGCCGACTCAAAATTGTATCGTGCTGCTCGGAGTTGGGAGCAGAATCAATCCAACGCGCTATGAAGTGTAGTTGGCTTTGATTCGGCCTGAACCGCATCAAGCGCAGGCAAAGAACACCATGCTATGTAAATGTGAAAATATGCCGCCACGCTCGGTTGTCGTATTGTGGTTTAGTCAACAATTCACATTGCCATTTTCAGTTGCGACCCTATCTTACTTAGCTCAATGGTCACTGAAGCTGGTGAGGTTGTGGTAAAATTGAAGGTTGGCCGCATTTTCGAAGATTGGCATCAGCCTTGATTGTTGGTAGTGTCGTGTTCTTTCCACACATTTCCTCACCATTGGTCCGATGATTTTGCCTGTCTTCTGATGAGTGCTGCTAACCCCTTATATGATCGGAAAAGGACGGAATCTACCCCAAAATACGCCAGCAAATGAGCCCCTCCACGGGCTTGGCCCACTTCTCAAAGTTAGGAAACGGGAGCACAAGTTGGGGGGGGGGAGGGGGGCTGGAGCTCTTCTCTCCTAAACTGAATAGGAAACTGCACTCCTGGAAGCTGGTATTGGTGCTTCCAGGGTTGTTAGCACGTAGCATATACGTCCTTTTGAATGCTGACATGTTTAACCAGCCAGTCTGCTATAGCTTATATATTGGTGAAGCACGGCTCCAATATATGCTTAGTGCGTGGCTTTGGACACTTGATGGAAAACCGATGTGGCTTGTTTGACCTGTTAAGCCCGTTTGACAATGCCCTGTCGTTGCGTTCGGCGCCAGCGGCCCTCGCCACCAGGAGCCGTCATTCTCTCCAGCCCTCCCCCACAACCATCTGACCTACGCTCATGGCCGCCCGTCCTCCCCGCTGCCCGCCTCGCTCCACCCCCAGCCACCGGGCCGCCAGGAGGACCTGACCGGACCGGAGCGGGCGCGGGTCCGGTCCGGCGGCCGGTCCTCCTGGCGGCCGGCTGCCGAGGTGCGGCGGCGGGCGGCGCGGCGCGGCGCAGTCGGCCGCCTGGTCCGCCCCCGAGAGCTCGCCCCCGTGACGGTCCGCGCCCCCGCCAGGCCATGATGAGGTCCCGAGGAGGCCGCTGCGCGCTCGGCTCGGCAGCTAGCGTCCTGCTCCTGCTCGCCAGCTACGCCGCCCTGCAGGCCATCGAGGTGAGAAGCGTTACGCGCGCGCACCGTCACGCACCGCGCGCCGTGACGCAAAGCAACGTCACGCAGGGTCCAGCATAATTGTGCGGCTGGTTCGCGCTCGGCCGAGCGGCGGTCTGTGCAAATCAACGCGATTGCAGTTGCGAAAGCCCGCCGAGCGGGAGTGGCCGCGCTCTGCTGTGAATCGCCACATCTACACGCCGCCGTCACCGCACCGTATGTGGCCGTTGCGACACGGCATAGCGGGGTTGCCCGTGCAGCGATGCGGCGTCACCAGACCGTCCCGTGCCCCGCCCGGAGGTCTTCATTAGGGGGCCAGGCGTCGCCCACACCCCGCCGCATCCCGTCCGACTCGTCGCGGCCACCGGCGCCGCGACCGCTGCTGAATTATCACCGTTTTTTAGATCAAGGTGGACCGGGTCGTTCGTATGCAGGTAGGCGCGCTCGAAAGTAAATACCCGCGCAGCGTTAGGGGAGGCGCCGGACGGTGGCCCGTGCGACGCGCGCGGCCCGGTAACTGAACTCGGGATGCCCGCTTGCAGTGGCACAATGAGGCCGACCAGTTTTTCCCACGCGCTGTCTGCCCGGCCGGGATGCTCCGGCCGGCTCGTGCCGGCGGCAGGCGGCCGCCGCCTCCGCCCGAACCGGTCGCTCAGTCACGCCTCAAAGATGGCAGAGCACATGTACACTCTGTTGGGGGCGCTTTTTTGTCATGTAGCATCATTGGAGTAATCGTGGATTTTGCAGAAGGTGCTCATTTCTGACTGACTTGGTGCGTTGAGCTGTGCAAGAACAATTCGCCCAGTTGTGGTCTCAGCACGGACCTTATGGGAGGCAAACGCGTGGCAGTGGCGTTTCCATATCGTCAGCGTTTTAACCCAACGTGTCTTTCGCCGAGACAAGATCCAAAAATGTTAATACTTTAGTTTTTGGGACTTTTTGGTGGAAGAAACCGACGTCTATAGTTGTAATACTTTGCTGGCTTTCTGACAATGAAATTGGAAGCTTTTTTGTTGGGTCCACTTCCTATGAACGTCCGCGCGTGGCGACAACCTACGTCGTATCTTTTCGTTCGTGGCATGTCGAGGTGTCGTTAACCTGCATACGGAGCGGACGGTCACGGACACAAGCGGTGTCACCGGCTGGGCCCGAGGTCCTCGGACGGGGCCGCCGCCGGGGGTCCGGCGGCTGGCAGGCAGGCGGAGATCGGTACTCATCGCGGAGGACGCGCAGTTTAGAGCACGCCCACCGGTTCGCTCCACAATTTCCGCCCGGTCCGCCCGGTAAACGCTCTGTGGCCGCGGTGACGGCCGATCATTCCGCTAAGCAAGAGCTGCTGTTGCGCAAACATTCCTTGCGATTCAGCACAGCATTTGCGCAAGCCGCTGCTGTTTGTGCATGCACTAAGGTTTAAGATACCGCCTTGATTGCGGTGAATGAAGCCCATGACGGACAGTATCTTGATGTTTATCACCTTCTGGTGATGTCTGCTATGTATCTTCGTTCTGCGTTTTGTGGCATGCTCCGAAGGTGGCGCAGCAGCTTTGCGCCTGGTTACTGCGGCAGTCATCGTTTAAGCCACGCGATGCGCGGCCTCCTGAGCTTTCGTCGAGCCATCAACCCTCGGCGATTCCCTGTCTTCAACCCGACATTGGCTCAGTTGACTCGCTCGCATCGACTCAGTTCAGCTGGCCTTCATCCGGCTCCGCCCGACTCCTCGCGACCCCCATCGATTTCTCGCGACCACTATCGACTCGACGCGACTCCACTTCATGCTATCTTCCCGGATAGAGAGCGCTCGACTCGTCTCGACCCATTTGATTCGACGTGACGTCACTCGGACGGAGGCTCGGCCCAGCTCACCTCGACAATGCCTTAGCGGTTTTTTTTTGGGGGGGGGGGCGGCCGCTGGCTCGTGTCTCCTCTTGTCCAAGGCCGTTTTTGTACCGATGAGGAGCTTCAGATGCACCTCAGCGCCGCGCCGCCGGCGCCCGTCGGCGCGCGCCGCTCCCACCACCAGCGCGCCGTCAGCCGGGCCAAGTCGCCAGCGTTTGCCGTCCTCTCTCTCCTGGTGATGGCCGACGGGGTGCCAGGCGCTCGCGCACGATATGAGAAGGTCGAGCGCAGCGTTCGGCAGCGGCGGCCGGGCCTGCTGGCGGCACGCTGAGACTTGTCGGAGGCGCTCAGGTGACGCTGCCGGCGTCGTGCGGCGCGCGCCGATGGAGGTCCAGCGTTGTCCGTCGGTTCAACCTGCCGCCGACGGCAGCATCGGTCGGGACGGTCGGTCTGCATGGTTTGGCGCCGGCGGCATCCGAGCCGGCAGCAGACCCTCCCCCCTTCCTCCTTCCATGTAATCCTGATAATCAGGGGATCGGCCCCCTTTCCTTGCTTCGCATTGGATCTTGTGCTATATATATATATATATATATATATATATATATATATATATATATATATATAATCGTTTGTTGTGATTTTACCTCCCGACTGAAACTAACGCCGAAACACCCACCAAACAGTACAGCTCGCAAATAATCTGCATAGTTGTCGGAAATCGGCCTTCTTCTTCCACTCATGTTTGAAATCTCCGCTCTCCGCTTGTGATCTCAACGCCGTTTTGCGTTGTGATTGCGTGATCTGGCCGCTTCCACGCCAGGCTGCGCTCCTGCCGCGGTCGGAATACCGAGCTGCTCCGGCGGCGGAGATCCTTGGTGCCCTTTCGAACGGCCTCGGCGAGGAGGTGGGTGGGTGCGGGCGGGCGCGTCCACTACCCACGCACGGGTGCGTCCACTACCCACGTACGGGTACGTCCTCGCCCTCGCACGGGTGCGTCCACTACCCACGTACGGGTACGTCCTCGCCCTCGCACGTGGGTGGCGGAGCGGGCCTCTTTCGCCGTCGCTGCGGCCCATTCCCACGTTGCTTTCCGGCGAGTGGTGATTTTTGTCCTCGGCTGTTCGCTGTCGCGCTTTCCCACGCTGGAGAAGTGGCAGATTAACATCCGCTTCAGCGTGGTTGTGACCCGTGAAGAAAGTGCTTCGAAGGTCACCGCAGCCACTGTTGTCTGCAAAGCCCTGCGAGCCGTCTGTTGTTGCACGGCCGCAGCTGGCACGGCTGTACCATTGTATACGGCCGCGTCTGTTTGTGCACTGCCCAGCCGTTTGTGCGGGCAGCCGCTGTGCTCCCGAAGCGAGACATGCGTTTTTGCATGTTTGTGCGTCGTTCTATGTGCGTTCGTGCACAGAACACAACACGCATTTGCGTCTGCTCACCTTGAACCCTCGCCTGCCTAATGCGAAGGGGCAGGCGCCGGCAGCACAAAGTCCGGGCCTGCTTCCGACGAAGACGAATCACCATCTGCGCGTGGTCTGCGGCGCAAAAACCCGAGTCGTCTCGAGCCATCCTGATCCGGGCGCACTGTCCACGCGGCGCGGGCACATCTGTTGGGCCATCTCAGACACACCGCGCGTCACTGGGTCAACGGGTGCCGACGGCGGGCGGTGGGGGGGGGGGGGGGGGGGAGGACGTCCCTGCTCAGCGCCTGCTCGGTCTGAGTCGGGCGCGCTGGCCTCTGCGAATGGGAGCCGCCCGGAGGCACCCGTGTTCGACGCTGGCCTGCCCACGGACGCGCTTGTGCCCGGTCGCGCCGAGCGGTGCGGAGGTGTCTGCTGGCGGCTGCGCCGGCGCGCATGGCCCCGCCGCCGCCGCCGCCGCCGCCGCCAGCGGCCGGTCGGCCTGTGCGTGCCGCCACTGACCTAGAGCCGCCACGCTGGCCTCGATCCCGCCGCGGCGGGGCCGGCCCCGCCGTGCCGCCGCCGCCGATGGCGCGGCGTCGGCAACACGGCCGAGGTTGCCGCGCTCTCAGTGCCTGAGGACCTTTCTGGCCCTCTGGCCGTCGCCGAGCGTCTCCGGTTGCGGCGGCATCACGCCGCTGCCGATCACTTTAGGCGCGCCGGTGCGAGTCGGAGCAGGCCGACACGCGCCCGGCTCGGCCGCGAACTTGACCCAGTTTGGACGCCGGCTGGGGTCGACCCGCGCCTTCCGACCTCGTGACCCGCTCCCCCGGCCGCATGACCCTGACATGGGGAAGTGGCGCCGCGCGCGCGGTGGGGAGGAGAGACGAGGGATGGCATGTAGCCCGTCGCAGGACTCCTGAGCTTGACTTGGCTGGGGTGGTGGACATTGTGGTGACAGCGGAGGAGGGGTATGGCGCTGACACCTGAGGCTGCTCTCTCGGCGAGCTAGCATAGTGAGACAGCTTGAGTGAGAAAGCGGCCGTTTGCAAAGACCATGGCGGCGTATGAAGTCTGTGGGGCCATGCAAATGTCTGAGGGCAGTACGACAGGCGGAATCATGTTTCCGTGACCGCGCTTATCAGTAATGCAATTGCGCACATTTTCCACGGCTTTCAGCCAGAAAAAAGGGAAGAAGCCGCGCTGAACACGCCGCCCTAAATCATTAGCCTGTTTCCTGACATGTATCCTGACCGCCGGTCCCGACCACCCGGATGGACAGTCAACCGCTTGCCTGGTCCAGGAAGTTCCCCTGGGTCCTCGGTGTACACTGGAAGAATTATCCTTGAGCACTGTGACATTTTGTTTTTTTGTGGGGCAAGGACTGGCGGGCAAATCCGGCGCCCACTTCGGCGGGTAGTTTACTTCCTCGTCTGGCATTCATTGTGGGTGCCCTTTCGGACCGCATGGGAGGACATGGCTTGCCGTCTTTAGAGTGTTAGTGATGTGGCCGAGTCTAGAAGCGGGTTTCATAATGAACCGGAGGCCACTCCATGTCGTTGTTTCTCGGGCGAACAGCTGACTGAAGCCTGGTTTCGACTCCGACGGCTATTGCGTAGCACGGCAGCGGTGTGCGGGAGTAAAGTTAAGCAATCTGCGTTTCTTAATCTGACTGATATCGCAAATAAGCTTTTCTTTATCTAATCGCAGACCGGGTTTCGGATTGGCATAAGCACGAGACAAAACTGGTTTGTAATGTGAAAGGGAGCG